AAGCTCACCCAGCGAAAGGCGAAATAAACACGCGACCGTATTTTGATTGAAAACCGAAATCCTATTCTACACCAGGTAATCAGAAATCAGAAAAAGTGAAAGAATTTAAAAAAACATTGTGTTTTTTTTTGGATTTTTATTATTATCAACACTCAACAGTATCAATTCGGAATTAAAGAAATAACGAAATAATACAAGTGTATGTTTGCATATATGTATTTATGAATGTCCATGAGTATATAAGCACATTTATAAGGGGAGTAAATACAAATCATATGTTATTTGTATTAATGAATATTACGTATAAATAAATGTATAAGTAAGAATTAAAGATGTAGTATAATAATTGAGTCGTATAGATCTCGAAAAAATTTAATATTTATCCAAATTCCAATGTCATAATATTACACTAGATAGTAATAGGCATACATTTACATATGTATGATGTACTGACATACATATATAACTGATTGTAAGCAAATAAACTAAAAATTAAATTCGAGTATATCATGTACATACGTATGAACAAACTTATGTATATAATTATGTAGATAATTCAAAATTCCATATAAAACAATGTACATGTGTACTTAATGTTGTATAACTAATTTCGGAATTTATTAAAATTCAATACAACCACAAATAAATAAAGTATAATTTATAAATTAACATAATACAATAAATGCAAATTCTAGAACTCAAATATTAAATTTCAAGAAATTCCATCAATTAGTTCCGTAGATACAGCAAAAAATGTAAAATAGGCCCCAAGTTTGGTTTCCGAGTCGTAGTTTTTCCAAAAAAATTAATAGCGGCTGATCATCTATCTAGTTATTTAACTCGGAAAATGAGAAGAAAGTAAATAACTATCATACACTTGTGTAATGTAATTTTCGAGTGAGAAGAATTGTTTGGTGTTGCGTATCTCGTTTTTTTCTAATATGTATAACAAAATTTATTCACTTTGTTTTTGAAATTGAGATCTTCAGTCGATAATTTGCGAGCAAAATGCAAAAATCTATTGAAAAAATGAGCAATCTTATTAGAAAAGTGTAATATTCATTAGAAAATATTGAGAATTCAGATTTGAAAGTGAATAAAAAGTGAGTAAATAAGCGAGTTATACGATCAGGCTGATAGATTCATTGCTTTAACATCCCCAAATTTAAATATTATATTTAAAGAAAATTAGTTGATTATTTGCCTTTTATGCACAAAAACGTAAAATCGCAAAAAGGTCCAGTTGTTGAGGCCTGATACATCCCTAAAGTTGATCAATCCGTGACATAGCCGAAATAAACTTACATAATAAAATATTACTAATATGAGACTCACACACATAAATGACCAATATGATATGCACACACACCGACACCTCGCAAAAAATAGTTTATTTAGGTTTTCCTACGATGGAGAAGTGTCTTTCAACCGAAAACTCAGTACCCAAAATTTGATGCCATCACATACTCACCCTTAGTGTATGCTCATTTAGAACATCTAAAAAAAAGCTAAAAAAAATGATCCAATTTTATGATTCCCAAACCTCCAACACAACGTTCTTTATTAAAGCTGCCTCCCACATTGTTTAATTGTATCCCTTTTTACCAAAATCCCAATGCTTGTAATTCGCTTATTTTCCACTTTCAGCCTAGTAAACGGTTTGCTGCTCTCGAAATCTATTAATGTAGTGCGGCTTCCAGTAGTTTTAAGCTTGTAAATATTATTGTATAGCAGTTTAGTTTTAAGGTAATTTTATTTGTTATTCATTGTATATAGTAGTTTTAAGGTAATTTCATATTAATGTAATTATACACAATTTTAAAAAAAAGTAAAACTCACATTTTTTTTTTTTGGTTTTTTTTATTAATAATTAAAAAACACTAACGACTATGGTCCTCATATCTTTTTAGGATTTCTAAATTTGGCTCTAACACTTTTATTTTTACATAAAGTGCGTCTTCTTGCTTGACCTGTGAAACATATAATGAATCAAGACAATAGTTTAATTAAAATAATGTTTATTCAGTGCACTTACATTAACAGCCATATCTAAAGCTGATTGAAAGAAATGTAACCAGCTTATACATGTAGACCCTGACGGTAGGGTCAATGTCGGTGTCGGTGTTGTTCTCGGTTCAGTTCCTGTCGGTGTCGTTGTTGTTGTCGGTAGGACTAATGTCGGTGTCGGTATCGGTATTGTTGTCGGTAGGACTAACGTCGGTGTCGGTGTTGTTGTCGGTAGGACTAACGTCGGTGTCTGTGGGGTGTCTGGCGGTAAGGCTACTGATGATATACTATATAAATACATAAAATTAATTAATTTATTTTCGGTATATTGATCATAAACTTACCTGGAGCTTGTCGTATCCTCCGAAATTGCTGCAAACGGATTTCTCTCTGTTTGCATATTTTCGTCTATGACGACCGAGTGCTTTTTTAAAACGTGTTTTTTTAATAATTTTGGTTTTCTCCAGCATTCCCCGTACTTTTGCCGCAAACAGAGCCCACACCAAACAGTGGAGTCGCCTCTCGTCCCAAAATACTTCCAAACTACCGACCTTCTGAAATGGCGCTCATATAGATCTTGATAACCCTAAAAATATATGTTAAATAAATTAATATATAATTTATATATTATAGAAGTAAAGAAAAATACTTACACTTGCGGCACTTGAAGCCCCTGCTTTTCGAGGTAGGGAAGTCATGCTAAAGGAAATAAAAAAAAATATAATTGAATTGGATTTAAATTTAAAATATAAAAATTAAATAATAATTAATTTTCGCACATATCTTTTTGATACTTATAGATCAGAAGAAATGAAAATGTAGAACACTTTATAATGTGTTATTAATATATACAAATATATATACATATGTATATACTATTTAGCAGACTATAATGAGTGGTTAATCATTTAAAGGAAGTGTTTTTTTTTTTAATTCAAAGTTAAACGATTTAAATAAAACTCATAAAATTGTATAAGGATTTTAGGATTTTAGGGCACTATTGAAAAAATAAAAAAAATGCATTACTTACCTGTTGAATAGATAGGAGTCCGCGCTAAATATAATAAAATGTTTATATTCTTTAATTATTTTATTGTTTATATAAATTTTTTTTTTGTAGAAAGTAGTATTTTTTTTAATTCTATTTTTTGTTTTACTTTTTTTTCCTTTTTAAAAAATTTTAATTTTTATTATATTTAATATAAAATAATTTGAATAATTATTTAGTAAATTTCGGTAATCACAATATTATTTAGTATTTTTTATTAATATTTGGTAATCACAACACTAATCACTAATAAATACACCGCTTACTTTAACGTATTATTGGAAAAGAGGAAGTTTTTTTTTGTTTTTATTTACAATAGGCGACAATAGACAAATCAGACAATGCATTCATAAAAAGCGTTCCCATTTGGATACAAATTGTATCCATTTGGATAAATTTCAGGTTGGATACAAATTTACTCAAATGTGCTAAAATGCCGAAATTGGCTAAATTTTACAATTTTGCTGAAATATGGATAATATTTTTTTCAAACACTAAACGAATATTACAAAACAGTTAAAATGCTAATAAAATTAAATCGCTAACATTCAAAATAAATAACATTCAATAAATGTTATTTGCTGGCTCTTCGACTCATTCTATTTTATTCTTCCTTCTATTTGAACCGTTTTTACCGCATAGTTCAACAACTACAGAACATATACATACTCGTTTGTTTTTCTTACCTTAACCTTTACATTTAAAATGTAATAAAAGTTGTATGTGATTTCTTAAAGAATTTATTATAAATAACAAAACTCATATTGTGGAATAAAGCAAATTAATATTAATTATGGGTTAATTTGTACAAAATAAGACGACTTAGTATAATAAGGCTATTTTAAGAGGTTGGATACATTTTTTTCTCGAAGCTGGATACATTTTGTTTTTACCGAGTGGGAACACTGTTCATAAGTCACACATGTGTATACATTAATTCGAGAGCTGATTTAATATATATGTATGTGACTTTATCTATGTTTTTTTTTGGCGAGTAATTCGTGAAAAATAGGAATACTTGAAATAATATGCTTAAAAATACAAGTATACTTTATATGCATATTAAGTTAAATAAATAACATTAAGTTAGGTAATTTTGCAAGTTTTTACAAATAAAGGATTTCTATATTTCTAAAAGAATAAAGTTTTCATTACTTACTTATTAAAAAGAATTATTGTGTTCATGTATTTCTCTCAAAGTTCATAATTGTCCTTATTTTTATTTAGTTTTAGTTTTGAAGAATAATATGAAAAAGAGTATAATTTTATTTACAAAATTACAATTTCTGTTGAATTAGGGTAATAAATGAAATAGTTATGCAAGGAAGTGTGGTATGGATAGTGAAATTGTATTTTAGATAATTACTCTGTTTGTTTCCATCTATATACCGACTGTACATACACCTACTTAAGCTCTCGATTTTAATTTTTTTCTTTGTTTATTCAACCAACAGCAGCGTCTAATTTACTTATTTTATTCTAATGAGAAGAAAGTGGAAAAAATGAGAGGATGGGAAAGTGGTCAAGACAATACAACTTTTGATAATTTTTTTGTATGAAAATGGCTTTATTTTAGAAAAAGGTTTGGAATGTTGACAAATGTTATATTTTCAATATTTCTTCAATGAAATGTTACTATTGCTATGAAAATGTTTCTGAAAATTTTTCCATCAACTTATCGACCTAAAACGGACTAAATTTATCCATTTTTCAGCACTGTACAGTAGAATAATAAAATCCATCTGCGATTCCATATTGCAATTGATCTTAAAACTGCAAGTATGAAATGAGCTCAACCCTATCGGCAGCATGTATAATAAGATATCAAATCCAATATCTATGAATCTGGCAACCCGAACGTTATTTTTAACAATAATAATGAATGTCAATTTTAATTCTTTATGAAAACAAGAAAAAACAAAAAACAAAACTTTGACAACTTGACGTTGTTGACGTAGTAATACGGTATTTTTAGAAAAACATAAATCCAAAACATTTATGTTTATATGAATTTATTTACCTGATATTGTAACTTTTATTAGCTGAAATGTTTTAACAAATTAATCTAAGATTAAGTTCAATTGTAGTTTTGAAAATGGTAATTATTTTGTTATTTAAAAAAATATGAAATCAATTAAGATTCATTAAAATTTTTGCACAAAGATATGAACTTATTTGTTTTTGCACTAATATTCAGAAATTCAAATTAAAATTTTACTTTAAATAAAATTAATCTATTACTTTGTAGGCACGTCAAAGAAAAAATGCTACTAGTCCTAATAACCCGAACAATAATGAAAAGGACAAAAAGAAAGTTCGGATGAACAATAATACAAGCAGTAGCAGTACAGGCAGTCAAACTCCCGTAAAACCATCGATATCCAATAATAAGTATTTCTTTTATAATCGGTGGTGGACAATTTTTGGATCTTTAGCACTTTTAATTGCTTCAGTATTTTGTTACTTAGGTTATTTAGAAACAAGAGTGAATACTCCATTTGACAATCAAAAAGTAATTACCAATATAGTTTTATATTGATTTTTGCAATAAGAAAATTTAATTTGTGTTGCATATTTTTAGATGGTTGAAAGAACTGGGCTAGAGGATTTAGAGAAATATTGGGGATCATATAGGCCTGGTCAATATTTTGGACTTAAAACACGGGATCCCTATTCATTAGTGATGGGATTAATGTGGTATTTTCCTTATAGACTCAAACCTGGTGGGGAGGGCATTAGGTATTGATATTTTAAGATATTCCATATTGCATTTTAGTAAAATTTTATAAAATTTAGACATTGGTGCGAAATAGGAGATAAGTTACAACAATATGGCTGGACCAGACATGATGGTAGATCTTTTGGTTTACAGGAAATCCATGATTCCAACATTGTACTAGAAACTTCATTTATAAAAATACCAGGAAAACAATATGGAGGCGATTGGAGTGCACGAATAGCTGTTAAGAATAAAAATCCTGAAATAAAAGATCCGGTATAATAAGCTTTGCTTATTATTTAATTTTTTAAATAAAATATCTATAATTTTAGATTTCATTAATTTGGTATGTAGCACTTGATGAAAAAACAAACGGTCATATATGGCAAGATGTTTCATCAGAAATTCCGGAAATATCAGGTGAAACAACTGGATTGGGTGAATTTAAATTAACTTTGAATACAATAAGCGGAAAAGTTTTGCATAAATCGTTTTTAAGTACCGTAGCACCAAGCTTACAACATTTAACTGAAACAATCAAATCGTTTTTACGTCTAACAAATTCTGAAAGTGGTAAAAAAGTAATTTCGCTGGCTGGAGAATCATTGATAGGACAAAACGGAGAAAAACTTAAATCGAATTTTATAGCTATTCAATTGCTTGTAAATACGCCATTTACTTTAGATATATCATATAATTCTGTGACAGGATTTTATGGAAATGAACCTATACCGCATCCACCGATCGGGGAAGACTATACACAACTTTTGAAGAAGAAAATAGATGAATTTGACAACAAATTTGAAAAAACTTTTAATTTAGAAAATAAGAAATTTTCACAAGATGAAATTAATTTTGCCAAAGCTGCATTGAGTAATATGCTCGGTGGTATAGGATATTTTTATGGATCATCCCGCGTTAAAAGCGTTCACACCAAGGAACCAGTACCTTATTGGAAAGCTCCATTGTACACAGCAGTACCATCGAGATCATTTTTTCCTAGAGGTTTTTTGTGGGATGAAGGTTTCCATGGTCTTTTAATTTCGGAATGGGATTTGGATATTGAGCTAGATATCTTATGCCATTGGTTCGATTTAATAAATGTCGAAGGTTGGATACCTCGTGAACAAATTCTCGGTGTCGAAGCGTTAGCTAAGGTTCCTGAAGAATTTGTTACACAACGAAATACTAATGCCAACCCCCCAACGTTCTTTATGGTTTTGAAAAAAATTTTGACAAAACATCGAGTTGAGTTATCTACCAAGAAGCGAATTTCTACTTTAGAACGATTATATCCAAGATTGCAGGCATGGTTTACTTGGTATAATACTACACAAAAAGGAGAAATCATCGGAACGTACAGATGGCATGGTCGTGATGAAAATTCTATTAAAGAGCTAAATCCTAAAACATTAACTTCAGGGTTAGATGATTATCCAAGAGCATCTCATCCAACAGATAAAGAACGCCACGTTGACTTAAGGTGTTGGATAACATTAGCAGCTGGGGTTATGGCGGAACTTTCATCTATAATTGGACGTGATGATATAAAATATTGGGAGACATATTCATATTTGTCGGATAACACATTACTAAATGAAATGCATTTAAGCCCATATACTGAAACTTATTCAGATTTTGGTCTTCATACAGATGCTGTTTCTTTAAAAAGACCCCAACCTACGCCAGAACAATTGCAACATTACCAGCAGCCGGAAATGATACGTGAAGTAACAAAACAACCTGAATATCGTTATGTTGATTCAACGTTTGGTTATGTTAGTCTGTTCCCATTCATTTTAGAAATTTTAGATCCCAACTCAGCGTATTTACATAAAATTTTAAAAGATATGCGTGATCCAACAAAACTGTGGACAGATTTTGGAATACGTTCTTTATCTAAAACTTCACCATTATATATGAAATGGAATACAGAACATGATCCGCCATATTGGCGGGGTCAAATTTGGATAAACATCAATTACTTAGCTTTAAAAGCACTCTATCATTATGGGTCACAACCTGGACCGTATAGTGAAGAATCAAAAAAAATCTATGTAGAACTAAGACAAAATATAATAAATAACATATTCAAGGAATATAAACGGACCGGTTACATTTGGGAACAATACAATGATAAAACAGGTGAAGGTTCTGGTTGTCATCCTTTTACTGGTTGGTCAGCATTAGTTGTAATGATAATGTCTGAACAATATTAGTTTGTATGTTTTAATTGAAAAAAGGAAATTGATTAAAAGTAATATAATAATTAGATCAATATTAAAAATAATTAAACTGTGTTAGTCAATTTTAAGGGAAAAAAAAATTTTTAAAGTCTGTTTTTTAATTAATAATTAATTTGGAATTGATAGATTTTAAATTAATTAATTAATTTGTAAAAATTACGTTTTAACACTTTGCAATGTGCTCAAAACTGTAAATAAATGTAATAATAATGTTGTAATGACTTAAAATTTAATTTTTTAATTTAAAGTTTGACTTTTTATTCATTAACAAAATAAAACTTCTGTAATTAAAATAAATTAACTTAAAAAATTCAAAAATAACCAAAAGTTCTTTATAATTTCAAAAAAAAATTACTCAACATTTTTTAAAGACGATTTTGTTTTAAAAGTCTAAAAAGATGTAAGACCAAATCCAAATAAATTAAAACAGAAAACCTATTAAAAAATTTCAATTTTCCAGAGTGAATGGGAAATGCTTGCTTTATGTTAAAATCTAAATTTAATTACGATTTTGTTTATAAAAAACTTTCTAGAAAATTACAAAACATTTTAAAATAATTACTTTCAATTTTTGTTTTATTGCATTATCTTAAATAATTTTTAATCATAAATTCTTCACAATAACTATTTTAAGTTAATTATCTTAATTGTATGTAAATTCTAAGTTTTTAAAATATATATACGATTTAAATAACAATTTGTATATATGTAATATAATAATTGTATATAATACATATGAGCACATACATAATATTACTACCGCTACACTTATGTATGTATGAATTTAAATATTTTTTTTTTGTTTATAAACAGCCAGAGAATGAAAAATTATAATTTTTAATTCAATTTAATTTTTACATAGTACTAAAATAATAATAATAATTTTTTTTTTAAATTTCAATTAAATTAAATTAAGTAACTGAGTTCGTTGCTGTTGTTGTACCAGTCATTGGCGTTGTTTGTGTTACGACAGCTGTAGTTGGTAAAACACCTAATTGTTGAAGACAATATTTTGCTGCAACAGCTTTTGCAGCTTTCTTTGTTGAAGATGATAATGTTGGCTGATATACAATATCATTAACTACAACCTAAAACAAAAAATTTTAGATTAAATTACAAAATTTTTTTTTTTTGAATAAAATAACATTTTTTTTACTTTAAATATAAATGCTTTATTATGTGATGGCCCTTTATCATCAACCAATTCATAAAATGGTGGTGTCCATCGTTTTTTCGATGCAATTTCTCCAAGTAATGATACTGGGTGTTTTGTTTCTAATGCTTCTTTTGCTTGTGATATCGTATTATTTTGTATTCTCTTAGATCTCTTTTGATATGGTTGATTGTTAATACGTCTTTTTGTTGGATCCTTTTTTTTAAATTGAACAAATTAATTTATAAAATTTTAATTTTAAACTATAAATTTATATTAAAAATTTTAAGTTTATTTTATTTTTTTTTTTACCTCTTCCATTGCCATTACACCACGTTTATCTAATTTTACCTAAAAAATAGAAAGAAGTGGAAAGTGTTTAGCTTATGTTCCATGAGCAGAATATTTGAATTTAATTCATATTTGTAATTTGTTACCGATATATTTTTATATTGGAAAATTTTTTCTTAGAACTTTTAACGAATTTACAAACTAATTAAAAGTATTTTTTTAAACAAAATTTAAAATAAACGAATTGTATATCAAAATCAAATCTTTGAACATAAACTTATGCTTTCTTCACTTACTTCAAGCAATAGTGGCTGTAATGCACCGTTTCTTTCACGTCCTAAACCTTCACCTGGTTTCCATCCCATTTTTTGTAAAAGTTGCATACCCATACCACCAGATACCGGTGCTGAACTTATTAACTGATCCTACCGAAATAATTATTAAAAAAAAAAATAATTTATTATTTAAAAATAAAAAAATACTTTTATTAATGCACATTTTATTAAACTATTACAATAAATTATTAAAAATACTATTATTAGTTGTGCGTAATATAAATATATGTACTAATTTTTTTTGTAAGAAAAAGTTATTATATATTTGGGATAGATATAAAAGTAGGTAGAGTATTTATTTTGGTCCATTAAAGAACAATATAAATTTCATTTTGAATTTATTAAAATATGTTTTGTAATCAATATTTAATATAAATTCAAAATCAATATATTATATTATATAAAAAAAATATGTATTTCCCTTAATAACTACAAGAAATAATATTAAATATTACTTTTTTTTTTATTTTTTAATTTTTTTTTTTTTTTGTTTTCCATCATTATTTTTATACTTACACAAACAGTCGATTTATTTTCACTGAATTAGAAAATAATATTTTTAAATTAACATTGAGAACTTCGACCTGTTTACACCGTGGCACCATTTTAAACTTTTGTGAATTTTTACTACATATTTTTTTAATAATCTGTAAAAACATTTTTAGATAACAAAGTTTTTGATATTGTTTTACAAATGTTAAAGGTTTTCTATGAGTTTTTCGTTTTTTTTTTCTTTGATATTTTCATAATAAAAATAAAATTATATTTTGAATTATGAAAATATTTTAATAGAATAAAAGTTAAAAGGAATGTAAAACAATTATTTGTAAACGTTATTTTTGACTACTCATTAAATAAGTTATTTAATTTGATTTATTTTTGTTTCTTCAAAATAAAATTGATTAAAATTGAAAACTTTGTTATTTAAAAATGTTTGATATATGTTGCAGGAAAAACATTTAAAAAGCATTTGTTTTAAATATTTGCCTCAACATACATTTTCATTATTTTATTCATGTTTTTTTTTTTTCTTTGTTTTAATTTAAAAACAAATTTCAATATAATTTTCTAATATGTATGTATTTTGTTTTGCCCTACAAATTTCTGCGAAATATCTCTAAATATTAAAGATAAATCATATATAAAGCAGAAAATCATAGGGCAAAATTAGATTTAATTTTTTTCTAATATAAATTACAACACAAATGATAAAAAAAAATAAATCTCGGAATTTAAATACAGAGCTTGAATTTTCTAATAAAAAATTTAGCAATTTTATGCATTTATAAAATTTATTTACATAATATATTTTATTTATACTTGTTTTATTATAGAAAAAATGATTTTAAGTGGGACGTAAAATCTCATACTTTTGGAAACTAAAGAAAAAAATTAAACATGCATTTAAAAGCAATAAAATTTGAGTATGTATTACAAAAGATTTTTACAGAATTAAAACTGGAAATTTTTAATAACTAATTAAATTTTCGTTCACGATGAAGTTATCTAAAGTTTTCTTGAAATTATTTAATTTATATATAAAAAAAAATGGAAAAATTAATGGGTTTTTGCTTTACAAAATTGAGATTATTTTCAAGTAACAATTTTAAGGTACAATTCATTACAATTTAAAATTAATTTCAAGGTACAATATTGAATTTTTTAAACTGATTTCTAATCAGTTTGAAATAGAAAATTAACTAAATGGTAACAAACCAAGTCTTTTGGTTTAATTTTTTAAGTGATTCATTTTTTTTTTATCAACGTGTTTCAATTAGCAATAACGATGCTAAATATATTCTTAATCGTTCTTACAGAACTATTAATTAAAAGTTATGAAATGTTTTTTAGTATATACTGTTTTTTGATATTTAATTATTATATTTAATAGTAGCTTATTTTATATTATGGATTCATTTTTCATGAAAATGATAAGGCAAACATATATAAAATATTTTTTGTCAGAAAAAAATTAAAAATAACAACACATTGTTAAAATGTAAAATGTTGTTTAGAAAAGAAATATTCAATGACAATTCAAATAGTCTAATAAAAAAATTAGATTTTGGAAAAAGTTAGATGAAAACTTGAAATTCTAATTTTTTTCCGATTTCTTGTTTGTTAAAATTCAAATTTCAGCAACTTAATAGTGTGTAAGTTTTTTAAAAATTTTTAAATTTTGAAATATTGTTTACGTGACGCGAACAAAAAAAAACTATTTTTAATTGAGGAATTCATATTAAAATTAAAATGGCACTAATTTTTAAGCCAAAAAAAATGGCGAAAGAATATAAATAGATGTATTTAAAAATCATATAAATATATAAGGTAAAATAGTTAGACAAACCCGTTTTGCCCAAGCTTTTACACCACCGCTTAATTCCCTTGCACTTAAAACATTAACACCTGTACTACCAGTAAATTGACCCGGTAACTGTTTCATACTAGCCCATGTTGACATCTAAAAATTATAGAATAGAAATTAACCTTGCTGATATAAGATTTAAAAAAAGAAATTTAATGTTTACATCCTTTTGTGCTGTATACATAATTTTTAAAGCCTCAGCATCCATTGGATTCTCTTGTAAACGGCGCATAGCATTTAAACGTTTTCCAATAATTGAAGCCACATCTAAGTTCTGTTTAAAATCGATATTTATATTTAAAATCGCATTCCTATTTGTAAGGATTTTTAAAATAAATTACCTGTTGATGTTGCGGGAAAATACTATCTTTTGCAGGTAATGGTGGTGGAATGAGTGAGGGTGGTGGAGGATTTGGTGGCGGAATATTCTGTACTATTGGTGGTGGAACTGAAATCGGTGTAGAAATTGGAAGTGTTGAATTTATTGGTGGCAGTGAACTTGGAACAGGCAATATTGGCGGTATAGTTGAATTTACAGAATTTGTTAAAATATGTTCTGTTCCATTTGCTAAGGAATCTTGTGCAACATTATTACCATCATTATCGGAAATAATTAAGTTATTTGCTTGTTGTGTTACTGATACAAATGCCGGTAATTGTTTTTGATCAGCTGGTATCGGTTTTCCAAAAATAGTTTTAGGTATTTGTGCTAAAAAAAAAATTTTAATTTTTTGATGAGTACATCATTTTTTAATTAAACTTTAATAATGAAATTTTTGTTAATTGAGCATACCCGAAAGCTGTTGTTGAATCATACGTTTCGATGCAGTCGGTACTATAGTACCAACTGGCATTGGTTTTGGTACTTCAGTCTTAGGCGGAGTAACTGGAACCCATTCACTTTCATTTAATCTATGTTGTTGACCAGACGAAACCGGAAATTGCATTAACAAAGCTTTAGTTTCTTCTGCCGATTTTGGTTGGATCGGTACTGAATTCTGACAGTTTAAAGAAATATAGAAGTTAAATTTATATCTATGTATATATATATTATGTAATTCAAATTTATATAAAAGAGATAACCATACATACCTTAATATTCATTACAATGGGTGCGCGATCTTTAATTACAAATGGATGATGAACAAAAGCTTTTTCATTTCCATCTTTATCATGATCAGAGTCATCAGAAGATAAATCTGATATTTCATTTAAATTTTCGCCATTAGATAGTTTTTTACAAAAATCAGTTAAATCTTCTACGGTCTTTCCGCCATATCTCATTTTCATTAGTACTTTATCTTTAATATCTTGACTCATTTGTTGTGTTCCGGGTAGAGCACCTTTTTTAAACATAGAAATCGCATTTTTTCTGGCGATTTCTAGTAAACGTTTTTTATCTATTCCTAATTCTCTAGATCTAGATGTCGATCTGAATAAAGAAAAAAACATATTTAAATTCAAATATAAAGAAGGGAAAAGTTAATTACCTTGCTAAACTTCTCGATCTACTTCGACCCCATCGGCTTCTCCCATATCGACTTCGACTAGAACTTCTATAATTTCTACGATCTCGATCTCGCTCACGATCTCGATCACGATCCCGATCGCGATCTCTATCTCGACTGCTTAGGCGACTTCCTCTATAGAATTCATTTTCTTCTCTACTTTTTGGTTTACTGTCCTTTTTGGAATCATTTTTCTTGTCATCGTCTAATTCTTTATTTTTACCATAAAAAGCATTATATTTTTCTTTCTCTTTCAAATATGTTTCCTCATCAGACAATGATATTTCAGATTCTACCTCCTTTTTTTCTGTATGTTTTCGTTTTTGTCGATCCCTTTCCTTATCTTTACTTTTACTAGTTCCGTGGTTATTGTTAGGAATTTCTTTTGAATACTCATAATTAGATTTATCATCAACAGATTTTTTATAAAAATTATCATCTTTTTCTACTTTAATTTTGGTTTTAGCTATTGGCGATTTTGGCAACTCATTTTCATCATAATCAGAAATCGAAAATTCAGAATCATTCGAATTGCTTTTCTCTTCGATTGTTTTTTTCGATGTGGAGCCTTTGTCTTTATTATTTTCAACTTTAATTTCTACTTTAATTTTTTTATGATGTTCTGAATGTTTAGATTTCTTTCTTTTTTTCTTCTTATGTTTGTCATCCTTGGGGGTACAAATATCACTTTGGCTGCTATCATCACTGCTACTTCTACCCTTCTTTTTAGATTTCTTTTTGTGTTTTTTTTCTTTCTTATGTTTTTTTTTAGGTTTTTTATTCAACAAGAATTCATCGTTTAGCAAACTTTTTGGTGGAGCTGCATTAAACACCTGAAAAACCAAATCAAATATGAAAAAGGAAATAAATTCATAACTTAATATGAAAATGAATTTAAATTTAATATAAACATATTTTTACATACGAATACATTTGAAAATTGTTATATTTAATATTATGCACGTGTGTGTGTAATTCGGAATATTTTTTGTTCCAGCAGTTTGGTTTCTTATTTTACCTTAAAAAGTTCAGCTAGAATTTCATTTGACGACTTTACTGGCTCCACATTTTTCTTATTATCAATATTATCATCAGTTTCTTGCACACTTTTAGAGTTACTGTTGAATAAGGTAGGAATTATTTCATCAATAATCTCCTCTGGTTCTTTTTTTCTTGGTGGACTTGGTTTTTCACGTTTTATTTTCACTTTTGTGTAATCAAAATCAACTGTTTTAGACATGTTAGTAAGTTATTTTATTTTGAGAACTTTATCTTCATCACAAATTGTTTTTTAATTTTAATTTTATTTTTAATAATTATATCAATTTTCTCAAAAAATTTCACTTTTCTTTTTCTTCTAAATTTATATTTTTCCTTTTTACCAATAATCAATTTTTGACAATAAGTGTGGATTGTGGATATCTCAATTTTGACACTCAAGATGTCACTCGTTTCATTATTATAGCATGTTCTCAATAATAGAACAAGTTTTAATTGAGAACAGTTTTTGAATTCACAATAGCAATTCACAATATACTTTAATATTATTAATAATATTCTTTTGATTTAAATATTAAATTGTCAATTTTATTTATTATTAGTTTTATTTTTTTATTGGTTTTATCGGTATTATTAAAAGAATAAATTAAAATTAAAACAAAATAAATATTATATTCTCAAATTTCCAGAAAAAATAAATTGTCTTTTTTAGTGTGACTTCTTTTGGAATTAAAGAAAAAGAGGTTTGTGGAAATCAATTTAATTTCAACCCTGATTTGCATTCGACATTCATTTCATTTTCATATGATTATGATAGTTTAAATAAGTAGTTATTCTAGTTAAGTCAAAGTGTAGCTTACATATCCATATAAATTAGAAATTGCATTAAAATAAAATAATAAAATTATATTTTAAATTTTCATTTTTCCTTTATTTACTTAATTATTTTTGTTAAATTTGTTTGTATAATTAATTTAATCCTCGATTTCTAAAAATATGTTACGCGTAAGTTAATTTTATTGACCTACTTATAAATACAAAAATATAAATTTGGAACTGATAAAAGTATGCGCTTATTTATTTCAACATTAAATAGAACAGATAAATTGTAGAAATATAATGCATAGCTTTAGCCCTTATAGTTTTACGGAGTATTAGATTTGCTATTTCGGTGCAATGACCTTTGGACTTTAAACCGTATATTTTGTAAACACTCCAACAATATATATACATTATGTATAACAATGTATTCATAAAATATATCTAGGTAGTACCCAGACTATAATATTATTTATTTTATAATGTAGCCACATAATGCCTACCTAGTATTATCAATTAGTTTTATTTTTAAGATAACCTATTGCAATTTTATTTACTGGTTATGCGACTTAGAAAAATTAACTAATGTATAGCTTTTATCAAATTATTCACTTCAAAATAATTCGTTTATCAAATATTTTAAATAAAAAAACTTTATTTTTTTGGAAATTTCAGAATTTAAAGAAAATAGTACCACAAGTAACTGAGCAATGGCGAGCTTATTCTACACCAGCTTCTGGGTTTAGTTTAAAATTAACAAACGAGCAACGTGATATTCAAGAATTAGCAAGAAAATTTGCTCGTGAAGAAATAGCACCAGCTGCAGCGCATCATGATAGAACTGGAGAATTCCCCTGGGATATAGTCAAAAAAGCACATAGCATTGGTTTGATGAATGGTCATATACCTCAAGACGTTGGCGGTATGGGATTAAATGCCTTTGATTCATGTCTAGTAACTGAAGAGTTGGCTTGGGGCTGCACTGGAATATTATTAGCTATTGAAGGAACATGTTTAGGGGTAAATTCAAAATTATATAATTTTAATTATGTTATTAGATTTTTAATTGTATATCGCTATACTATTTTCTTTTTTTATTTATATATCTAGCAAACACCTGTTGTTTTAGCTGGAAATGCTGAACAAAAGAAAAAATACTTAGGGCGTTTACTGGAAGAACCACTACTAGCGGTGAGTTTGTTACCTTGCTATATATTTTCGATACTGTATAAACATTTTATTTACTGTTTGCATTTAAATTTTAGGCTTATTGTGTAACGGAACCTGGAACTGGTTCAGATGTAAGTGGTATTAAAACGAAAGCTGAAAAAAAAGGAGATGAATATATAATTAATGGACAAAAAATGTGGATTACAAATGGTGGAGTTGCAAATTGGTATTTTGTATTAGCTAGAACAAATCCTGATCCCAAAAGTCCAGCTTCCAAAGCTTTCACTGCTTTTATAGTTGATCGTGATACACCTGGTATAACACCAGGCCGTAAAGAAATTAATATGGGTCAACGTGCTTCTGATACACGTGGTGTTACATTTGAAGATGTTCGAGTACCAAAGGAGAATGTTTTGATGGGTGAAGGTGCTGGATTTAAAATTGCTATGTTAACATTCGATAAAACAAGGCCTCCAGTTGCAGCTGGCGCTGTCGGTTTAGCACAACGTGCTATGGATGAGGCTACTAAATATGCATTAGAAAGAAAAACTTTCGGTGTACCAATTGCACATCATCAAGCTGTTGCATTTATGTTAGCTGAAATGGCAATGGGTGTTGAATTGGGCCGTTTATCATGGCAAAAAGCTTGCTTTGAAGTCGATAATAAAACACCTAAAAAAAGTATGTTTGCTTCAATTGCAAAATGTTTTGCGTCTGATATGGCAAATAAAGTTGCCTCAGATGCTGTACAAGTTTTTGGTGGTAATGGATTCAATTCAGAATATCCAGTTGAAAAATTAATGCGTGATGCCAAAATTTATCAAATTTATGAAGGCACTTCCCAAATTCAGAGATTAGTTATTTCCAGAGAATTAATTGAAGCCGCTAAGAAAGGCTTGCAATAATTTGAATTTTTTTTTATTTTTATTACATGAACTTGAAAATAAGAATGAAAAATTGGCATTTATTTTGTTCAAAATTAAATTGAAATTTTTTTTTAACAAATTTGTATGATTTTTAGACTAGTTTATTATTTTACCCTTTCGAAAGTTTCCACTGTTCTTGTGTTTTTATCCTGTATCATTTTATATAGACAATAACAACTGACTGCACAAAGAAAAAAAGAATTAAATGACAATCTTGTTAAAACACATAAGTTATGATGGTTATGATTAAATCAAAAATTTTGAAATGTTATTTTTTTTTATATTTTTATACAAATGTTAATAAGATTTTAGAAAAAAAAAGAAAAATATTTAGTCTATTTTTGTATAAAAATTTAATATTAAAATTTTTTTATGAACTATGTTTGATTTTTCTACTCCTAAGTGTTGCTGCTCTTATTTCTTCCAGTTTTGTAGGACGTTCACGTGAATCTATTAATGTATCTACAAAAGAATGTGTTCTTCTAATACCACCGTTTTTATTTAACCCATTTAAAATTGGAAACATAGCATCCATTCTTGCTTCTAAATCTTCTTTATTTTCTTCAGATCGCATTATTTTATAACGTGCTTGTTTTAATTCCAAATCTAATTTTTTTCGTTCTTCTTCTAATTTCCGTAAACGATTTTCTGCAGTTCTTAATTCATTTTCTTTTTTCTTTTGCATTTCTTCAAATTCAATTCGTTTACTGCGTTCTTGTTCTAAAAGAACTTTTTGTTCTTGCTGTAATCTTTCCAATTCTTCACGTTTTTCCCATTCTTCTGCCAAAACTCTAGCCTGAAGTGCTCTTACAATTTCTTCATCACGTTTTGCTTGTATCTCCTCTTCAAGTAATTTCTCTAATGTTTGTTTCATATCTTCAAGTTCAGCAACACGACGAGAATCTTCTCTAGCTAGTGCTTCAGCTGCAAGACGTGCTGTTTTTTCTTTTTCTAATTGAATTTTAGCTTTTTGAACTTCCTGAACATGATTTGAACGTAGTAATTCTTCTTCTTTTCGTTTTTTCATTTCTGTTTCCCTTTTAGATCGACGTTTTGTTACTAAATCCCTTTGAAAACCTTCACGTCCCGTTGAATATGTAATTGCCAATTGAAGTGCAGCTATCCATTGCATTCGTGTTCTATGGTCATGTGTTGCTAATTCAAAATTATGATCACCAGATGATAAAATAAATTTTAAAACTTTTTCAATTTTACTCGAATTCGATGTACATGGTTTTACTAAACATTTTGGATCTAAAGTAATTGTTCCACATAATTCTTTTTCATAATGATTTTTATAATATGAAATTTCATAAGGTTGAAGAATAAACCAATATTCTTTAAATGTCGGTAAAAGATATCCTTTACGTAATAAATACCCTTTTTTTATAATATCACGAATATAAGTTTGATAAATGTCTTCAATGATTTCAAATAGCGATTCATTATATTCAATTAAATCTCTATGATCGTATTTTGTATCAATTAATTCTAAAAATTCATCGAAATTGAAAAAAGCTCCAGTTTCATTAAGTCTCTGCATTTTTTTATCATCAAGAATTTCGGTATCAAGACCGAGAGCGCTAAGAACTTGTTGTAATACAATGTATACTTCTGATGAATGCATCAAAACCTGAAATTACATAGAAATCTTAATTATTATTTTACTTCATATTGGTAGTTTTTTACATTAATGAAAATGAATATCTTCCTCAGATGGGAATTTTAATAATAAATTTATTATTTTCTGTAATAGGCTACCTATCCATTTTCTAAATGTAGGTAACAAGAAATAAAAAATTTTATTTAATATTATTCACTTCCTAATAGCTTAGGTTATAAAAAAGTGTGGACAAGTTGATTTCTTCAATATTGAATTAACAATCAACTAAATCAGGAATTCGTTTTGGTAATTTGAAAATAAAAAAAAACTATCTTCTTCCCATATTTATAATTTCCATTTTAATTTTAAATTATATTCAAAATCGAAAAAAAAATTTTTTCCCACATTGTATTAAATTTCCAGTAAATTTCTAATTAAACATATGTACCTACGTATGTGTGCATATTTATAGGAGTTCTATATTTTTAAAACAATATTGGAATAGAAATATTTTATCTATTATATAATATTATAATATATTTGTGTATATTTTAGAAAAATGTTCATTTACCTCACAAATGCTATTCTCATCATCCATATTTATCACATTTAAATCACTTAATAAGCAAAATATACGAAATAATTTATATATCTGGGTGTCCAATAAACTCCTACGTTTTTTTAAAGTAAACTTTGATCTACATATAAGCCAGCAAATCTAAAATATAAAAAAAATTTATTATAATTTAATAAAAATATTAGTAAATTAGAATTCAAACTTAATATTAAATTTGCAAATTAATATAAAAAAATAAATTAGAATTAAACCAAATGGTGTATAAAGTTTAGCACATTTCCTTTTAACAAGCCCTCTTATTTAAAAGAAAAACGTTTTTTTTATTTAAAATTTAAAAATAGTTTAAATAATCGCATTGACATTCTAAAATATTTCAGAATTATTCCTTAAGTAGTCAATATTAGAACAATTTCCTAATATTAATAGGCTTTAAATTGTAAGGAAAAGGTGCTGGAATTATTCAATAATGTCTAACAAAGTCTACAACTTTCTTACAAACAAAAGAATTTCTTGCAAATCTAACAGATCTTATAACTTACAAAATTCTTGCAAACTGCTAAAAATTTTCATTTAAAAGTAAAATTATATTAAATATTTGGAAAACAACAAACTAAAGATAATAACCACTTTCAAAGACCACTTTCTTATTTTAAAGTAAAAACAGAAAGTCACTATTTTTGTGCATTTTGCAGAATCTAAAAATGTTTTTAAATTAAATAAACGGAGAGTGGGACAGAGAAAAACTAATAAACTAATTTTTTTTTTTCAAACATGTTGAAAATTTTACTTAAAAAGTAGTCATTTTTTGACATAAAATAAAATTATCATTTTAAGTAAATTATAATTTATAGGTTTAAATGTAGATCACCTTAAATTCAAAATTATTATTCGATGAAGTATAATTTTATGGAAAAAAATTAATGCCTTTTTATAAATTATATGTGTTTTGTATATGTACGAATACATAGTTGGGTACTAGAAAGAAATATTAAATTTATGTTAACCAAAATATACCAGTATAAATGTTTTGACGAATTTAAGATTCTCGATTGGTCAAATTATATAATCAACTATAGATGAGGAAGTTTTAATTGAAAATATCTTAAATTTTATCAAATAAACTCTTAGCCTCTAGTTCTTAGTGAATTCTTAGGGCCTAATCGTCTATCTCGCTATTTTACTCGGAAAGTGAAAAGATAGTGAGTAACTATGAAATACTTGTATAATGTAGTTTTCGAGTGAGAAGAATTATTTGGTATTACGTATCTCGTTTTTCTCTAAAATGCATACAAAATTTATTCACTTTGTTTTTGAAAGTTTGACAAAAGATAATTTGACAAAAAATGCGAAAATCCAATTAAAAAATTAGTAATCTTATTGGAAAAGTGAAACATCCATTAAAAAATACTTAGAATTCGGATTTGAAAGTGAATAAAAAAGTAAGATACACGCTCGGGCGGTAACAGTTCACTTTCTAGTAACCAAGTTCACAATATATAGAAAAGTAGTTTTAATTAGCTGAAGCGAAAACTTCTAAAAATTTTAAAATTTTTAAATATAAACTAAAATTGTAATTCTTACTTCATCAATTTTTTCTTCATAATTTCTTAATTCTTTCATTGTTAAACTGGATGGTAAAGAACCGAATACTTCTTTTCCCAAATATTCATGAAAATTTTTAAAATTTAAACTAGCTGTCGATTTAAAATGATCTAATCCTTTTTCTAATCCATATAAATCTAAAACTGTTGCAATATTTGCTGTTAATACCTAAAATTGAAAAAAAAAATATTTTAATTATTTAAACAAATAATATTTTTAATTTTTAATTTAATTTTTATAAAATTCACAATTGTTTACTTTTAATTTCGTTTTATTAACAGATCCCTCTTGATCCTGTGGTAGACCATTAAATGCATGACAGATACTATTTGTAACATTTCTTAATAAAACACTCATTTTGTTTTCTGATTTTAATTTTGATTTTTTCATAAATAAAAATTCTTTTTTTTTTTTTTTGTTATTTAAAAAAAATATGACTGCCTTTGACTGTTTTTAATTTATTTATAAAAATTTTATCATTATTGTTTTTTTAAATATTTTCACTGCATAAAGAGAAATTAAATGTTGTTTTTTTTTCCGGTATTTTCCAATTTTAATAATAATGTTTAAAATTATTTCCTTTGATGTCCGATCGTTCGCAATATACTATTAATTTTGTTTTAAATTAAACAGGTAGGTAGTTAGGTACAATATGTTTTTAATGGTTTAGTATGTGGTGGAAGCTTTTTTGAATGTTGTAATATTGTATACTATGATCGTTGTATGGTTATAAAATTTTACCATTTAAAGAATTTTCAATAATATTTTTATGTTGCCATGAAAAGAGGGTGTAAATTTAATCGTGATAAATTTAATCGATATTATTATTATTGTTATTATTATTATTATTGTAGGTACTATACAATATTACCAATAATGGTTATAAAAATAGTTGTAATAATATAAAAATTTAAAGAAAAAAAAAGATCAAATAAATTATTAAATTACTCCGTGATTACAGCGTGATTATTCTGTGCTGCTATTGTGAATGTTATGGTATGTTTAAAGTTTTTTAAGTCAAAATAATAAGAAATCTCAAGAGATAAAAACTGATTTTGTTGTAGTATTCATTCTTATTTTCAGTGGCATATTATAAAAAAAATGGATTTGAAGGCAATCACTTTTTCTTATTTATTTCTTTATATTTTAATTAATTATTAACGATTTTAATCGCTATATGAATCACTCTCAAGCGTTGATTGAAGAATTAATGATGAAGTTACATTAATGATTTATTTTAGAATTTTAAGTGTATTTACATAGTATGTAAATAAAATCTGAAATGAAAAGAGAGAAAAATTTTATTTAATATTATTAAATATAATATTAATTAAATTATTGTATATATAAAAATTGTGTATGTATTACAAATTCTTATTTGTGTACTACCATTTTCCTTTATATAATAAATTTTTACATTTATGTAATCATTTTTAAAGTATTTCAGCGAACTAGTATAATATGGCCGATATTGAAGCCTTCAACAAGATTACTTTTGATATCGAAAACACAATATATTTATTAATTTATGATAGGTGTGTACATGAGCATATGATCAAATATGAAAATTTTCCTATATAACATAATTATTAGATACTGGGAGCAAAATTATAGTATTTTTGTTTACAATACTTTCTATAAATTTTTATCTTTACAATACTTCTCTACGTCGAAACTTACTAATAGGCTGAGCGAAACTTTTGTCGTCTAACAATATAAAATTTTCCTTTTCTTCTAGTACTTTAATTACACATAATGACTTTGTTCATTTTAATGGTGACCTTTGCATAGTGAACTTTTATCAATAAAATTATGCAATATTTTTAAAAAATTATTAATTTTTGTCAAATGAGTTTTAAAATAGAAGCCCTTAAATTTTATTTTTAAATTTCATAATGAAACAAAAAATTGAATTCAAATTGTTTGTTTGAAAATAGCTATGTTGATTAAAATTAAATTTCAAATTCTGTCATTTTTAATATTATATGTATTAATCTCTTAAATTTCCCGTTTGATGTTGCCTTAATGTATAGCCTCAGCTTATTATTTCTAATTTCTAATAAAGAATTGCTTAAATTACTGGAACTTTAAATCTGAATGCAGTATTTTCGCATTTATTTTTTTGTTTTTTAACAATTAAAATATTTTACAGAAAAAAAAATCAATTAGTTTCGAGGATTTTTCACATTTTGTATATTTAAGTAAATTTTCCGTATGCCTATTTTAACAATAAAAATTCCACAATATTTTCCTATTTTTTTATGAAATGTAATGAGTTTGCCTTGCATACCCAACGTACGTGTAAAAATGCCTTCCCATAAATATTAAGATTTCTTCTTTTTTTTTTAAATGAAAAGGACAAAATACAAATTGTATTTTATTATTAAAACATTCTTTATTTTAAGAATACACTAGAGACAAATCAACTGATATATATTGTAGATCTATATACATAAACTAAAAATAATTAAAATCTATTAAAATGTTGTAAAAATTTGCTTATACCTTACATACGAGTATATAAAATTCGTATATGTATATATGTATGTAAGTATATGGTAAGATTTTACAATAATTAAATATTTAATGGAGATCGGCTATAAAAATATACAACTATACACTTAATTAGTTTAGAATCTTAGACCAAAAATAGTATAAATTTAGATTAGCTGTTAACACGTTCTTACCTACATACATGCATACATAAATATTTATTATTCTTTTTAAAAAGGAAAGTTGTATAATTTTAAATTAATTGTTATATGTTAATTAAAAAATTTAAATCTGTATATATAATGGTTATAGAACAATCAACTTTACTTATAAAAATTTTATTTTATTGAAATGAATAGAGAAATAAGAAAACATACTATGTAGACTTTTATGGTATAATTGCTGCTAAAATCCTATATTAAAAAATAATTTTAGAAATTAATTAATTTAAAATTGGTATTTAAAATTGTTATTGACATTTGAAAATTTTTTTTTTCCATATTTATGAACAAAATTTTATGCGTATAGAGTTTAATACGAGTAGAATGAAATACATATATGTACACACAAATATGATTGAAAATATACCCCTGTTAAAAGACACCAATAATCGGTACAAAATTATAAAAACAGTATTTAAAAAATTAGTGACTTAATTTTTTCTTTATTTATTGAAAAAAAGTTAGAACAAAAAACTAAATGCGAATCTTCTGGTATAATTAGATTTTAGCGTTGGATGATTTCGTCTATATAATATTTCATTATATTTCTTATAAGTATTCATAATTCAGTGAGTTTTTTTAAATTTAGTTTAAATATTAATTTCTAAAATTTTATTAAATTAAAATTTATGAATAAGATCTAAATATACTAATGCACTGTGGGACTCAAACTTTGTTAGAGCATTTCACATTTTTATATAAGAAACATAGAACAAATATTACCTATATAAATGGAAGTTCAACTTGTGTAATGCAACAATGAATTTCTGGATAAGTAAAATTTTTAAAGAGCTGCCAAATTCGTATCAACAAATTAACATTAAAATTTAGCTTAAATTTTTTAAAGAAAGGTGTACGTTTTGCTTTGCCAATTATTTTAGATTAGAATAGATCAAATTTTGAGAACAAATTTGATACTATCTAAATTTTAAAAAGCAATCAAAATTATATTTCTGAATAAGTCAAGTTTATTGCAATTAGTTAGACCCTATAATAAATTATTGTACGGAAAATTTGAATTAAAATAAAATTAAGAACGGGTTAAAATAAGCAGTAAATATCAATTATTGTTCACAAGATTTTCTCAAAATCAAATATTTTTATTTTCATTTAGAATCTAGTTATTCTTATAAGCTCAGCCGATTTAATTTGTAACATTCTATTTTCAATTGCTTAATATACTTTCAAAGTTAGCTACATAAAAATTCAAAGAAATTTAGTAGAGCCTGGTGGGTATGCAATTAAAATTGCTTTGTATTATCAAAAATCTATCATTTAACGAAAACTTCATAATTATATATAATTCTTATTTACACATATATGTGTATAAATTGGTCTTTAGAAAATATTTTCAGTACTTATACTACAGCAATATACGAAAACGCAATCTCAATATTATAACACACTTTGAGAATTAGATCTTCGTTTAAGCTTTTTGACGCATATATATGTATATGCTTATATTTATACATATTTAATTATGTATATATGCGTACATATATGTTTATATATATATAAAAATTTTGTATTACATTTTAATAGAATCTATAAAATTAATCCCAAATGCCAAAAAGCTAATAATAAAAGTGTTGGTATGTTTTTAGAATTTTTTTTTTGTTGTTGTCATTGCCCATTTATAGTTAAAACAATTTATTTTATACATCGATTTTATCACGACCAGTTTTTGTAGTAAGAGTATGTCTATATATTGAGATTTTACAAATTTAAAATGATACATATAGAAATTTTTTTCACTAATTATATTATTTCGTAATTATTTCCACTTTGAATTGAAAAGTAATTAAAGTTTAGCTTTGGGATTTTTAATTTCTTTGTTTCTATCTTATAGTACATGGAAACGAAAAGAGAATGGAATATGATGATTAAATTTAATTTGTTGATTTTCAAAATTTATTCCTGAATAAAATAGGAAAATATAATCTTAAAATTATTAATGTAATAAAACAAGCGTATAACAATTTTACAGAATCTGCGTCAATTATTTTCTTATTCGTCTTAAATATTTTATAAATTTACGAATCTGAGTTTATTTAATTAAAGCCACCATTTATGAGAATCATTAACTATTTTTATGAATGTTAAATAAATTTAAAAAATGATTAAAACATCTTCTTTATGATAAAAAGAAATAATCTATAATTTATAAATGGCCCTACAAATTTCTTATCAGAAAAAAGTGGATTGCTTTTGCTTCTTTTTATAGCTGATAATCAGAAGATAAATTTCAAAAAATTTACAATAATCTATCAATAATTTTATATCTTCAAATATATTCAATTAATATTTTGATGGCCACTTAATATTTCTTTCTGAACCCCAAATTTATAGTATGTATACAAGGAGTCAAAATCTTAAATTTTCAGTTCAATATGCCGAAATTTGTCTTTTAATTCCCGAGTTGAAGCAAAAATGTAAAAGTTTAAATTCAATTAATTTTTCCCGATTTTTTGGCGATTTTAATTTACCTGAAAAATAATACTTTTGGTATTGTCTAGCTAGAATTAGTCTTCGTAATTTCATAAATCTTCGAAATTGCGGAGTGTTTTGATGTTTTGAATTTTGATATTTTGAATATAAAATTAAACTTAAAATTAACTAACTTTGTCTGATGAAAATGATTTGGAAGAAAAAATTGCTCAGTCGAATATATCGACCCGAAAAACTAATATTTTGAAATCCCAATAAATTTACGAGACATCATACTCATAATAATTATATGTATATTGATGATCTCTTAATATTTAATTATTTTTAATATTTTTTGTCTCCTGTTTAAGGCTGTATACAAAAGTTCAGACTAAAATTATACAAAAAAAAAATACAAAGACAAATTTTTTTTTTACATTTTTGTTGTTGATTTTCATTTCGTGTAAAATTTAAAATCCAAAATTGACATGAACGTGTGTCAAGGTTAATTATCAATTACTTTATATACGTATACAACTGTACATAAACAAACATATCCTACTTATATACAATATTGTCTACAAAAAAAAATAATAAATCGTATCATGTCTATCTCCTTATACAAGTCTCATATACCTTAAAATATATAATGTAAGATTGTATTTTTAATGAAGAAAATAAAACTAAAGTGAACGAAAAACCCCCAAATCATTTTAAAGCCGGTTATAAAAATAATAGTAAGTATAGAGTATTTAAAGTATACTTTATTAAAAAACAAAATTAAATAAAATAAAAAATCAAGCAATAGGTGAGCAAGAATTAATATTACATACGTATAGTTAACGAATATCGTAGGC